GATAGTTTCCCAGATGAGTGTTACTACGTTTGCGCATTAAGGGTCCGCAATCAGTTAGGATGTGTAGAGGCGTTTCTTCAGTTATGAAACAGAACCGACACATCCTTGAGTTGCTTAGTCCCAGGATGTACATGTGCTTTTTAAGACAACAGTGTCCTGTTAGGGCTCTTGCCAGAATGCGCAATTTATTTTTACTTAATCCCAGGGCTTCTGAAGCGAATTCACGATCAAAAGCCCGGATTAAGGTTTAAGTATGTTTTAAGCCTGGTGTGTCAGACCAGATGTTAAGTGATTTATTGTGATAAAGAGTTTCAAGGGTCAATCGGGCTAGGCTTCATGAGATTCCAGAAAATCGCTCAGGTCCAAATTGTGTGCACTTTGAGCCCTCCCGTGTAAGTTTGTCGGCAAATTCGTTGCCTACAATACCCTGATGACCATCTTAAAATGACCCTGTTGTTACATCCCGGGGCGTTTAAACGGTCGAGTGGTCCGCGTTGGGCGCTGAAGCAGCTGGACCGGGAGCTCCTTCTGGAAGCCTCGATCGTACAGGCCTGGGTGTCATCACCGGACAGGCCTGCCGACGTCAATGATGAGGCAGGGTGGTTCCAGGAGGCCATGTCCGAGATATGTGACGTGGCAATGCCCCGCGTCCGGCCAGGAAGCGCCCGGCGTCAGGTGTATTGGTGGTCGCGTGAGCTGACGTCTCTGCGCGAGGCGTGTGTCGCCGCGCGGCACCTGTACACCAGGCATCGCAGGCTCCGCATTCGTCCACCGAATGCGGCAGCCATTGAGGCGGAGCTGTACGAGGGATACAGAGCGGCGAAGAACGCCCTCCGGGAGGCTATCCTGCGGGCCCGGGATCGGGCCCGTGAGGAGATGCTGGAGACTCTCAACAGAGATCCGTGGGGGGCGCCCTTACAAGATGGTGCGGGATAAACTCCGCACCTGGGCCCCCCCGCTGACGCAAAGTCTCCGGCCCCAGCTCGTGGAAGACGTGGTGAGCGCTCTGTTCCCTGCGCGACGGGAACATCCGCCCCCGCCTATGGCTCCGCCACCTGCGGTGCCGGAAGCGGACCACCAGGACGACGACGACGACATCCCGGAAGGGACCGGGGTAGACCTGAGAGTGGCGGTACGTAGGCTCAAGGCTAGGAATACCGCCCCCGGACCCGATGGCTTGCCTGGCACAGCCTGGGTCCTGGCCTCGGAGGCTCTCGGGCCCCGACTGGAGGGGCTCCTAAGCGCATGCTTGGAGAGAGGCCAATTCCCGCTTCGTTGCAAGACGGGGAAGCTGGTCCTCATTCGGAAGCCGGGGGCGCCCTGCGGACTCTCCGTCCGCATACCGGCCCGTGGTGCTGCTCGACGAGTTGGGCAAGCTCTTTGAAAGAGTCATTGCAAACCGCCACGCCGAGCACCTTGCGGGGACGGGGCCGGATCTTGCGGAACACCAGTTTGGTTTCCGCAAGAGGCGCTCTACGGTGGACGCCATCATGCGCGTGAGAGCCCTCACGACGGGGGATGCAGTGGCCAGAGGGGGGTTGTCTTGGCGGTGTCTCTCGACATCGCCAACGCCTTCAACTCCATGCCCTGGAGCTGCATTATGGAGGCACTCCGGTATCACCGGGTGCCGACCTATCTCCGTCGTATAGTCGGGGACTACTTGACGGACAGGGCCGTCATCTACCCCGGTCGCAACGGTGAGTGGAACCGGCGAGAGATGTCGTGCGGTGTCCCACAGGGTTCGGTTCTGGGGCCACCTCTGTGGAACATCGGTTACGACTGGGTGCTGCGCGCCGACCTCCCTACCGGCGTCAGCGTAGTTTGCTAACTGGAACGGACCGGGGCTGCCTTCAGGCGGCTCCTGCCGACCATGCCGACCTGGGAGGGCCAAACGCCTCCTGCCGGAGGCTCTACGCGGGGATCGTGCGGTCCATGGCTCTTTACGGGGCCCCGGTGTGGGCGCGTGGTTTGGCGCGGCTTGCCGTCCACCACCTGAACGCGCCCCAAAGGGTGATAGCCGTGAAAATGATTCGCGGCTACCGCACGATCTCCCGCGAGGCGGCGAGCCTCCTTGCCGGATTGCCGCCATGGGATCTGGAGGCGATTGTCCTCGCGCGCCTGCACGAATGGCGTGCGGAGGCACTATGCCGTGGGGTTACCCCGCTGCCGCGGCAAGTTGTCGCACAGCGGACTGACTTCCGGCACGATCTCATGGCGACATGGAGACAGCGACTGTCGCAACCCCGTGCTGGGCACGCCACTATAGCGGCGATAAGACCCCTCTTTGAGGAGTGGCTTGAGAGACGCCACGGCATCCTCACCTTCCGCCTGACGCAGGTCCTCACCGGACACGGTGTGTTTGGGAGGTTCCTGCACCGAATCGGGCGGGAGGAAACGCCCGGGTGCTCCCACTGCGAGGATGGACCGGAGGACACGGTGGAACACACCGTGGAGGTGTGCCCTGCTTGGGCGGAGCACCGCCGGGTCCTCGTAGTGGCGATAGGCGGCGGCGACCTCTCGCGTCCGGCCCTGGTCGAAGCCATGGTCCGGAGCGAGACGGAATGGGATGCCGTCACCACCTTCTGCGAAGCAGTGATGCTGGCGAAGGAGGTGGCGGAGCGGGAGAAGGAGAGAGCAGCAGCTTTCCTCCCCGGCCGCCGCGGGAGACGCCCCCGGGCGTCGGGGGGCTACGTCGTGGCCCCCGGCCACCGTAGGCGCGGGCCTGTGGACGGCGAGCAATGGGTAGCTCGTCGTCCGTCCGTCTAATGACGACAGGCCGTGTCGACGGCGCGTTTTGTTCCACGCGCGCCTCAAAGAGCTGTCAGCAGCGTGAAGGGGCCCGCAAGGGCCGACGCCTGCCGGGGCTGCGGGCTGTTCGAAAGAGATACCGCGGCTCCGGAACGTAAGGGCACTGAAGGAACACGGATGGTTTTTAGTCAGTAAAAAGTCTGACACTCCCTTACGCTCCACCCAGAGCGAAAGGGGTCATTAGATGATTTTCCATCCGCAAAAAAAAAAAAAAAAAAAAAGGGCGTTTAAACGGTTCACGCAGTCTCCAACTAGCTTCGAGTTCACTAAGTTTGATCTCAGCGCTAGCAGTGCTGCTTGACTATCAGAGTTTATGTAAATTTTATGGTTGACGTAGTGTTTTTGCAGTTGATGTCCGTACACCGAAGTATGGCGAAAATTTCTGCCTGGAAGATAGAGGTGTACCCAAATTCATACTAAGATTGAATTTGGGGCGTTCCCCGTAAATTCCAAAGCCTACGTCGAGGCCCATTTTAGACCCATCGGTATACCATATGAGGCTACCGAGCTCACAGATAACCTGGCCATTCAGCCAGTCTTCTCTGGAGGGTAATTCCACTATAAAATTTTTATCAAAAGTGTGTAGTGGACGCATGATATTTGAGATCACGCATAAGACCGGTGATTTCTTAATTGAGAACTAGCCGTAACAAAGCTGAGGAACGAAGTCACTATATTGCGCAACATAATTGCAACATCTGCAAATTTACCGCAGTCGCAGAACGTAATTACGACACGCGGTAACCGTAAGTGTAGTCATATTTCACCGTTGATCGCGATAAAGTCTGTCAGCGGGTTGATGACCGTGAAGCTAGGGCAACCTCGGTCGTTGTTGCATCACCACCTCAGCCCTTGAATGACCCTTTGAGCACTCCTTCGCCGAAGCCAACCTCTCAACAAGGAAAGACGTTTGCGGATGTTGCCCGAAAATCTTCACAACCGCCACCCTCTTGTAGTCGAAAAAATGTAAGATATAAAATCAGTTCCTATGTTGAACCGAAACACGAGAGATAATGACGGGTTTACTCTTTTTGAGAAGAGACGTCGGCCGAGACCCGTCTGTAACCAGCGTGGGACCGCAAAAAGTACAACTCTGCGTATTGTGAAGTCCACCATACAGTTCTATATCTCCCGTTTAGACAAAAGTACGCCGGGAGAAGATGTCCTACGTTTCGTGGAAGAACGAAGCCGATGCCGTATAGAGGTTCCGTTTTTTTTAACTTTGCAGCGTCTGAAGTCTAACAGGTCAACGAACTTCAAATCCTACGTATTCCAGGTTCCTGCAAAATACTAAGAGACATTCCTCGCTCCCGATTTCTGGCCCTCTGGGGTAGTGTTTCGCCGATACAGGGACGCGCAGAGGAAGAAAGTTCCCTAAATAGTGTAATATTTATATTTTATATATATATTTTAGGTTAATTTTTATTGCTATGCTATATTCTTAATTTTTAAGTCCTTGATGCCTGAAATAAATTTATTGTATGGTATTGTAAAAAAGTTCTAAGGTAATACACAAAAAATACACGTAGTCGAATTACATTGTCGACGAATCGAGTAACATAGTCGAATTGAGAACCTTCTACTTTTTTGAAGTCGGTTGAAAAATATCGATTAATATCCACAAATAATCTTTATTTATTCACTTTTATTTTTTAAGTAATGTTGTCATTGTCACACCTCTCGTTTACTTTTTGTCTGGATTATTCTCTTTCTATAAATTCTATACAGATAATGCTTTTTCTAATGCTAATAATAGGTAACTATACTTCTAAAACTGTATATATCGTCTTCATAAATTAGATAATTCCCTTTTTAAAAAAGTTATTTAAGAGAAATTGTGACCATAAATAGTCTGGCTTAGCAGAGCCTTGAAACTCTTTACCATCAACGTTAGCATAAATCATTGCAAAACTTTAATCCGGACTATTATCGTACATTACCTTAGACCATGCAACTCCATGGACGAGTAATGCGCTTAATGCTACGATTCTGATATACGCAAATTGTATTCTGAAGAAGGCTTAGCGCCTGACGAATTTATAGCACACAATGTAACGCAACGAACAAAACGCCGATATCCAACAGGCGCTGGAGCTCCTGAATTTCTAGAGGAGTTAACCACAATTAAGAGCGATATAACAAACGATATCAAAAGCATGATCAAAGAGTTGTTGTCTGCACAAACCTCAACGATGGATAAATTAGAAAATAATTTATTAGATATTAAAAACCAAAACTCAAAAATAGAAAATACGAACACCGACATAGAAACGTCCATGAACTTTATATCTGAACAAATAACTTCACTGGTGTCTAAAATTACTTACCTGGAACAGGAGCGTATCACAGTGGATAACAAAATATCCTTGCTGGAAGAGAAAATGGAGACTCATGATCGCAGTTGCATAAAAACTTCTGTTGAAATTCGCAATTTACCCAAGAGGATCCAAGAGTCGAAGAAAGATCTATATGATATGCTAATAAAATTATCAAAGCTCATAGAAATCGATTTGCAAGTCTCTGATATTCGAGATGTGTCAAGGCAATATTCGAAAAAGGAAAACAAAACATCTAATCTGACAGTTGAGTTCTCCAATACTCTTATAAAAAGTAATTTCTTGTCTCTGGTTAAGAATTATAACAAACGTAACTCAAACAATAAGCTGGATTCGTCTCATTTGGGTCTAGATGGCCCACTTACTCCTATATATCATATATATCACTGAGCAGCACACTCCTAGCTCTAAGTCATTGTTTTATATCACGCGAAAATTTGTAAAACCAAACCAGTACGCATATTGCTGGACATCAAATGGAAGAATCCTGATGAGAAAAGACGACAAATCTCCCTACATTATAGTAAGAAATGAGCAGCATTTAAACCAGTTGTATACATGCAAAGGAGCATGACTACGAAAATATTTTCGATTTTGTTAACGTTGTATGTTATTAATGTTTTCCCATATATTTTTATGTTTGCTTACTGTTTAAGTCCCAATAAGTGAACTAATTACACTCACTTACTTATCTTAATTACTAACATAGATATTAAATATTTACACCCACACAAATTAAACTTACCACATATTTACACATATAACATTGCCATAAAATTCATACAAAACGTGAACTATAATATTACACTAAATATTAACACTAATATTTTTAACATCATTATTAAAATTATTAATATTGCTGTATACCTACAAAAACATAATTTTACCATTTCCCAGCCTCTTGTGCTGTCGTATGTAGAAATACTACGTCGATATTTCGGTTCAACTATATGCACAACAGATAATAACTCCATCCTTATAACAGCCTTTCCTAAGAACCTTTATACCCTTAATTTAAACCACAAAAATGGCTAATGGCATTAATAATTTGATTGAAAACGTTGACGAGCTTTCAGTTTCCGAATCGTTTTTCTGTACCATCGAAAAATCCAATAAAATATTGCAAAACCCAAGGCAATATATAAAAAAATTTAACCAAAATATTCGGTCTATTAACTGTAACTTCTTAAATTTACAGACAACTTTACAGAGTATTGCGTTTGACTGTGATATTTTAACATTGACTGAATATTGGTTATCCTATTCCACTAATCACTATATTCCCAGTTTACCCAATTATTCAATTCATAAAACACCTAGACACCTTAATCAAAGCGATGGTGTTCTTGTATACATAAAAACGTCTTTATTCTCGATCGTCGAAGAACCAGACTTTGACGAATCAGCCTCCGGACTAATAATTGTATGCGGTATGCGCTATCTATTGCGATATGACTCAGGCTTTTGATTATGTTGACCATGATATTCTGCTCAGTAAATTAGAAGCCTATGGCATCAGAGGCAATGTATTAAATCTTATGGAATCCTATCTTAAAAATCGAACACAATATACCGAAATTTCTAGAATAAATATTAACACCAAAAAAGAAGAAATATGCATATCAAACAAAGAAATAGTTAAATACGGTGTCCCACAAGGAAGTGTGTTAGGTCCTTTATTGTTCATCATCTACATAAATGATTTACCAAAAATTACAAAATATCCAATATCGCTATTTGCCGATGACAGTACGGTAACAATAAACTCCATCAATAAGGATAAATTTGAAAGTGAAATTAATAATACAATTAATTTAATAATAAACTGGTTAAATAATAATAATTTAAAAATTAATCTTCAAAAAACTAAAATTATGTACTTCAGTCAACGCTTAGCAACACCAAATATTAACGTTAATTACCAAGGGACAGAAATCAACCAAGTAGATACAACAAAATTTCTAGGTGTAACCATTGATAAAAGTTTGAACTGGAAAGCGCACACAGAAGAACTAAACAAAAGAATTAGTTCTTCTGCTTATGCGCTCTATAAACTCTCATCCATCGTAAGTACCGATGCGCTTCTCACGGCGTACCATGGTATTGTTGATTCCATCTTGAGGTATGGCATAATATTCTGGGGAAATTCTACTAATAAGGAAATTATATTTAAGTCCCAAAAAAGGTGCATCAGAGCTATGTTCGGTCTTAAAATTACTGATAGCTGCAAACCATATTTCATTGAGCATAACATTTTGAGCTTACCCTCCTTATTTATATATGAAGTAGCAAACTTCGTTCAAAGTAACCCTAAATTGTTTAACAAACCATCGGACGTCACAATTCGCAAACTGCAGGGATAATAGTAGGTTATGCGCAGTTGGTTCAAAAACGGCATTGATGCATAAAAGTATTTTCTGTCTGGCGCCAATAATATACAATAAAATCCCCAAACACATCAAACAATTGCCTACCAGACTTTTTAAGCTACATCTTAAAAAATATTTGATAGCCAAATGTTATTACAGCTTGCCTGATTTCTTAAGTGATTGATTTGTTTAAAGCTAAATAAGCTGAAATTTTTGCATATCTAATATGAACATAGGGTTAGTTAATTTGTATTGTAGAATAATTAATATATGTAGAATAATTTTTGTACGCCATAAATGGCAAAACATGTAGCTCGTATTAAGTTTTTTTTAACACCTGTATTTTTACTCATGTTTTACAAAATAAATATCTATATCTTTATCTTTATCTTTATCTTTATCTTTAATCATAATTAGTATCCAAATGTATAGAAATAAATTTACTTCACAAATCTCGACTATAACAAATTATAAATTAAATGTTATTCGCAAGCGGCACAATTGACGGAGACATATTGGCAGAACGCAAGACCTATCGGACTGTAATAAATAAGATGTTTTAATATTATTACACTACAAATATTGTCCCTTACTTTGTGTTATACAACTTATTGAGTTATGCGATGACAGTAGAAACTTAAGGCCAAGTCCACCTACAAAATTAACTGCTGCTCTTGGACTCAAAAAGTGACGTGACGTGGTTTTGGTCTAAATGAAACTGCCATTAGAAGCAAAATGTAGGGTAATAGTTTTATTTAAAATAAAAATATATAAAACGTATATCATTTTTATGACAAATCAAAATATAAACCGCCTTTATGCAACCGGCTAGTTCGCAATGTTCATTAAACACAAGTACGGTATACGATAAATGCCTACTGCGACCGTACAAAAGGGCCTTAAGCGATCTAGTTCTATGAGTACACTGTAAATATTTGCTCAGATTACTTTTTTCGGATAATATTATATTTGACCTTTGATATATACAATAGAAGTCAAATCAACAAATAGTATAATATATTATACTTATATAAGGTCGAGGAAAATGGAAAATGTTTCGTCGTATTTTATATACAAATTCAGGATAAGAGATTTATATAAAGTTAGTTGCCATCTTGTACATTATGCCATATGATAATATATCTTGTCCTCTCTTGATGTTAACCTTACACTACCCAAAGTATTCTGAAGAGACCGAAACAGGTGAAAATCTGAGTATGCACGGTCAGGTGATAAATGCATTAACACTGCCCAATCAAGCTCTTTCTGTTTATGCCGAGTAGTCAAATATGTGTATGGTCTGGTGGTATCATGAAGAAACTCGGCCTTTTTCAATTTTCTGTTTAAATATTCTCTCACGTTAGTACTCTCCATCAAACAAGTACATATTTGTCTTTCTAGCCATATCCACTTTCGCATCTTACGGTACGCACGGGACAAAGTGAGGCGTTGGATACCCTTGCCCCGGAACCATAGAGCATAAAGTATGAATAGAGAAACGTTGTGTAAGGGAAAGATAATTATTCCTATTATACTTATATAGTTATCTACTAAAATAAAATAAAGTCTATATTCATATATTTTGAATAACATAAAATCTAATATTATAAAATAAATACTTAATAGTAAGGCAATAATAATTTCAAATAATAATAACATAAATGGAAATAACGTCACAATCGAGCCACATATTACTGTTGTGTTACACATATTGTCCTAAGATAATTGTAAGATCTTATTCATAGGCTGCCTTGAAACCAATGGGATAAAAAATAATAATAAGTACATGCTTCGATGTACTTCTGTTTTCTGTATTCATATTACGTGGTAGAGCCACGTCGCAGCTATATTATGGTTGTAGCAAGAATGGGTCGGGTCGGCCAACACACAACACAAGTGTAAAATAGCAGTTCAATGCTGCTGTGTTTCGTATGGTCAGTGTAGAGAACTGGAGACCTTTTTATTGGAAACAAGGCATACTTTAGCAGTCCTCAGGGGTGACAACGCGTCTGCATCTTGATTCTTTTTTTTATATTATTATTATTTAAGCCCTTATTTCCCAAAAACGAATTACATAAAATTAAATATACTACAAAATTTTATTTACATTCACAAAACCAATCATGCTTCAAAGAAAATTTTAACAAACATTTAGATTTTTTTTTAGATTTTTAAAAGCAAATAACAATTTACCACATTTTTTAAATTATCAAATATGAAATAATAAAAGAAAATACATAATCAAACAATTGAAATCAAATACTAATAATAGGATATGTAGTGGTTAATTATAACATGTTATGAAGATCAATTTACAGCAGATTGGTCATGATAACATAATATTCAAATTTTTACTATATTATTTATTTGGGTACCCATTTGCGGGTGAAGGCCTCCTCCACCTTTTGCCATTTTTGTTTATCTTGTGCGAGTCTCATCCAGGTGTGTCCAGCTATGGCCACAATGTCATCACACCACCTACGCCTGGGTCTACCGCGTGTCCGTTGCACTTCGCGAGGGTACCATTGGAGGACTCTCTCACTCCAACGTCCATCTGTAGCTCTTGCAACTTGGCCTGCCCATCTCCATTTTATTTTAGATGCCAACTCTGCAGCATCTATAACTTTTGTGGTTTTTCTTATTTCTTTATTCTTTTGTCTATCTCGTAATTTAAGACCTAACATGTTCCTCTCTGTTGCACGCTGAAAGACCTGAAGTTTGTTTATTATTGTTTTTGTTAGTGCCCAGCTTTGACAGCCATAGAGTAGTGTTGGTAGAATAATAGTATCTATTGCCTTCTTTTTTAGTCGCGTCGGTATAGGAGACTTAAATATTTCTTTTAGTGACCAGTATTTTCTCCAAGCACTTTTTATTCTGCGTTAGACTTCATTCTCTGTTTGATTTGAAAAAGAAATGTTCTGTCCAAGATAGACATAGCTGTCTACATACTCTATCAATATATTTCGCACCTTCGTAGGCACTCTAACGCTGTTAGTTAGGAGTCTCGTTTTTTCAGTATTC